TTGTGTCCTGGGTTGTTTTAAACAAAGCATTCTCAAAGGCATCAGTGGTTTCTATACTCTTGCTGATACGTTTCAGGTTGTTGTACCAGTTTTATGTTTTTCTTAAGGAAAGATTCCCCTTTTAATATCCACTTCACAAGCCTTTTAAGAATCTAAAATAATTCACACAGCACAGGGAGCAGACAGGACATGCTCTTCTCGCACCACTTCCTCATCACCATCGATCCATTCGCTTTCCATGAACTATTACCAGGTTCAAATGAACATGAACACATTCAATGTGTCTGTCCCAGTTATGAAATGTTCATTAAAGACAGTAAAGGGTGCATGGCACATCACTCTAAATCAGCTCTGTGTTTGATTTCTGTTATTTCAACCATCACATGAAAGATATGAAACAATGCTTTGATGCCCAAGTAAGTGGAAATCGGGGAGTGAGGATTCCACCAGTGCAGAAGGCTTCACTGAGCACAGCAAGAACAGCCTGACACCCTGCATGCCCATGTGTATTTCAGCCATTGTGCTGTAATATAGATGCTTATGCTTTTACTTTTTACACAGCAGAAAATGCTGTAATGTGAATTTACAGCCTTTAACGTTTTAATAGTATTTGCTGTATGTAATCTTTTATGCAATACCACTAAAAAGGCACAACATATAATGCACCGCAACTTGTTAACATATTTCCCACATGTATTATGAATCAGATCCACTACTGGTTTGAGGGATGAAGTACATTAATGTACATTCATTTCATTTAGTATCATCAGACAGCTTGTGTCAATGGTTGCTTCCGGGTTGCAAGCGAGAGCGGACGTTTTTTTCTGCTCCTCTTGTCTGTTCTGGGATTTTCATATCTTTTCGTATGTTCTACACCTTCAAATCTTCGAAAAAGTCTACATCTGTTGAAATGCCTCCAAGAGGGAAAAAATCCAATAAGTCCGATGTCGCTGAGGATGTCGAAGCTGAAGAAAATTATGACAGAGCGCCGCAAGACCTGCTGGATGAGCAAAAAAGAATGTACACAGCCCTGCTCACTCAGCTCAACGAAAGCTTCAAAGGATTTGTGCAAATACTTATGAGATGAACAACAAGAGATTCAACGAAATGACCAGAGAAATACAGGACATAAAAACGAGTCTGCAGTTTACCCAGCGAGAGGTCAATGCGATTAAAGGTACCATGGGTGAGCAGTCAACCCAAATTAAAGGCACGAAGGATTGCGTTTACGATACCTGTGAGTACTTAAAAGTCATAACAGATAAAGTGGAATACTTTGAAGCACAAACCAAGCGAAAAAACTTGATCTTTGCGGGAATCCAGGAGACAGCTGGAGAAAGCTGGATGGACGCGGAGGGCAAAGTTAAGGAGATTCTCAAGAACAA